AAATCCCGAGTTAGTTACAGTTAGTTATTGGGTGGCAGAACACCCTTAAGAGGTTTGAATGGCTACAGAACGTCCTGGGTGAGGATTGCTTGCTTTGACTCCTGCATGAATGGCTGCAAAAGGATGACTTGTAAAAAACGAACGTCGCGGCGCGCGAGGGCCACTCGTGGGGTTCGGCACTTGAGAAGAGTTTAAATTGGCATTGAGCTCTAGGGCCAGGAGCGATGGCAATCCACATGGAGTTCTAATTGCCAATTCAGTTCTGCAGTACCCTTCAGATATAAAAAAAGAAACTCCCGAACCAATGGCTCCTATCAAGTGCTGCTGCCTATAGGTTCCTTGCTACCCAAAAAAACGGGGAGACCTAAACGAGCTCGTCCATCCATTCGAGAGATCGCTCCTCTCAGCAGCGTACTGCAGGCAGCCCTGGACGAGCTCTGACTTATTCGGCTCGGGCAGCTTCAAAGGTCCGCCCGCTTTGTTGGCATTTGGACCAGAGATCGGAGTGGAGCAATGCAAGAGCATTTCTGGTCATTGGTCAAAGAAACAACAAAGTATAGACAGACACAATGTATATTGAATATTGTGATAATATTGTGTATATATGTATATGGAGGACTCATGATGAGGTTTTGGTCCAAATTCGCAGCGGATCTTCATTCTTGGGGGAAAAAGAAGATCCCACCTTCGTCACGTCCCCCACTGACCCAGTCCTCACCTTCTCGCTCAGAACCCACAGCCCACGGCTGGTTCGTACCAGTCACTCACCAAAACCAATGATATGTGTTCAATAAAGGTTTCTTCCAATTGCAATCATTGGTTTCGTACCAATTGCTCATATGATATGTTGTCATTGTTTTCTGTGATTGCAAGGTTTCTTCCAATCTTGCAGGTGAGAGCAATGACTAAAATGCCCCTCCTCTTCAAGCCCCATTCCAAGGACCTTCGCGACTGCGAACCTTTGATGTGCCCAAGACGTCACGCGCGAGGCGGACGTGGTGCTGAAGAAACCGCGACCCACGTCCCGCGATTCGATTGGTCTTGGGTCAAAAAGTCAGGAGCCCTGGAAATTCCAGTGGTCTGCGAATGTTTTCTTCCAAAACCATGGACACCCATATCCACATAGGTGCAAGGGAGTTAAAGTGAGTTGATCTGGTACGTTGATCCAATCTTCAGAAGTGGATGACTGGGATGACTGACTGTCAGTGGACTTGAACAACATCCATGCATAAATGAGTTCTGTATGGATCACCAGGGCCTGCATTTCAGAATAGAAAACTACAGATGACAGATTCTGAAGACAAGAGCTGGGAATTGACCTGCTACTATACTTTGAGGGAAGCTACCTGTGCAAAAAAAAAAAGCAGAACATGGCAAAATGATATGTAATTCTAGATTCTAGACCCCACCCAACTTACTGCGTTGTACTGCTTGCTTGTTGTGGGCTAGCTACCCCAGGGCCTGCAAAGCTGACGCTAGACGCATCACGCGACCCGATTTCATACCAAGCACAAGAACTATGACAGCACAGCCCAGCGATGCCTCTGGCAGCCAAGCGATGTCATATTGTGCGATCTCCGCTTGGAAGGTGATTGATATGCCTTTCAACTGTGCAGACTATGACTATGACTGCAAAATTCCCGGTGGCACCGAGCATTAGTTCGGAGGATTGGCCTTTGAGATGACACCACCCCACCAAAAGAATCGACTCTCGACAGCAGGGGTCCGGACGCTTATTACCATCTTTTCCATTGGTTCGGTCCTAAATTCCTACTGCAGTACTGCTCTTTAAGTCCAACCTTCTACCATGAGGCTCTGGAGGAAACCGCTGCCAACAGCGTCGAAGCGTCATCCTTCGGTAGATGGAATCCTCAATCTACCACAGGAAAGGGGGGGTTCTATGATTCTTCGGATTATCTCATCATTTCATCCACTTGGGATGGCGTTTGAAGGGCACTTGGGACCATCTATGGGGATGTATTTTGTTGATGGACAAACTTCCTCAGTGGGATTCAGTGGTCGAAGTAAGCATAGACTTCCAATATATAGAAGGATTCATGCATTGACTCCCCAAACATGACCCTGGAAGTCTTTGGAGTCAATTTTTCGAGCGCTAAATGGCCTCCAGCTTACTTGATGAGCGACCTCTCAAAAAAAAAGAGGCTCAAAATCTATCATCTCCATTCATCTCCTACTTTTGACAAGGATCACCAAGTATTTCCATATTCAGTGAGTTGATCCGACAGAAGTCGGTGCCTCCTCCTCTTGCGGAGCCCGCGGAGGCCTCAGAGAGGCGACTGGCACTGCACTGGAACAGCTAGGCGCTGCCGGAACAGCCAGCTGCTGCAGCTGATTGCAAAGACTTGCTGGAGGACAAGACCACATACCTCAGGAAGGAGAGGGATCGTGGCAGGGTGGAGGGCAAGGCGGCGAAGGTGGAGAAGGTATGAGGGAAAACAAAAACATACAAAAACAGGTTCACAAGATCTCACAAGATCTCACAAGATCTCGCCAAGACATGCCAAGACCATCTAGATTAGATGGAAGCCAGTGTGCGACTACGCTGGATGCCATTCCCAGCAAGGAGCTGATGTTCTATCGTGGATGGTCGTCCAAATGCCAAAGACCCAACCATGTTCGTCGAGGATTTGAGGACCCCCCCCAATCGAGGCGAAGAGCACGGAGGCTCCAAAAGCAAAGGCCCCCTCTATGGCGCCAGCCAGAAAACAAGATACTGTACCAAGAGAGTCAAGAACCTACAAATTTGTAGATCCTTTATGGAAACATGATGCTTTGGCCAAATCCTTGGTATACCAAGCAAAAGACCAATTGCCCGCCTTCGATCGGTCGGCGTCCTTTTTGTCTGTTCGCTTCAGCACCCCGAGGGGGGGTGGCCCTCCATCGAAGCAGGACTGGGCATTTCGTGGGTTTTCCCCCAAACGCTCTGAGCATTTCTTTGGTGCCAAAAGCATGGGCTTCCCAGTATGACATGGACCCGTGGAAGACCAGTTTCCTCCAAACAGGTGATTTGCCACTTCCATGTTAATGGATTGCATCCCACTTCAATTGAAACATTGTTGTCCTAAGAGTCCTTGCAGCCATCAGAGTGCATGATCACATCTCACTTAGCAATTTCTCACGCACCAAATTCAGTGAATCCAATGCCTGCCTCCCAACGTGCTAAATCAAACACACCTCAATATCACCTCAATCGCATCAATATTTACAACATCCACTCCACTCTTGCCAAAGAAATAGGATGAAATAGGTCTACTCTAGTAGTCATGTAGGTCCCCATCATTTGACCCCACTCCTACCATTTCATGCCATGTCGGACCTCTCGAGCTGGAGATCCCTAGACAATCAAGGTTTATACCGAAAGGTACGAACGCACTGTGGGATTTTAGTGGGCAAACCCATCCTCCCCCAAAAAAAGTTTAGAGGTTATCCACTAACGAGTCACGTTATGTTTTCAAGATGCGTCCTGACCACACCATGGCACACCCGAAGAAATATTCAAAAAGTACTGTCTTGTCTTGTCTGATGTCGCGAATCCTCCGTGCTCGGACGGACGTGCTCTAGTGTGCTTCAAAATGAAACGTAATCATTGAAGGGGTGTTCAGCAGGAGTCAACCTTAAACAATATGAACTTGAACACAATGGTTTCTCAACCACCCTGGAACCCACCTTTGCTTTTCATCTCACTGCTTGATGCTTGGAACATCTGAAGTTTCTATAACCCCCTGCCATCTCCCAAGCTCGCTGCTACATGTGACACCTCCCAGGTCACCATAGTCTTCCACCCTCTTCACCCTGCTGTTGGCCGTGGCACGTGCACCAGATCAGCACCAAAAACACCGCAGTGATATGCTTGCAGCGTCGGGGCCCTCCCAACTCTCCACCAAAGGCCTGCGACCATCTGACCAGGGCAGGTGGCGGATGGGAGGTGTATCTCAGAAATCAAAATAGGCGAAGTATACTCCCTGAAAAGGTCTGTTTGGTTCCCCTGTCACTGCTTTGGTATGATTTCATCGGTGATCCTTTCCGCATGGAGGAAAACTGCGGTTGGTTTCGGTGCACAGCGCTGCAGAAATGCCGTCTCAGAGATCGACATTCAGCCGTTGAAATCCATCAAATCCATGCTGTCTCGGGTCTGGGACAACCATCCAACAGCGGAATCCATCGGTTGTTCGTTATGGTCTTGGGTCTGTTAGTCTTCCCATCCTCAGGTCCATCGAGAGTACTTCCACTTCCACCTGGATTCGCTGAACTTTTCGAGGTGATGGGTTCGAATCGAGTGTCCATCTGGAACAAGTCAGTGACTGATCCAAATCACTTGCGAGTGTGGGCGAATCATCTTGCGGTCCATCTACGAGTAATCCCCGAGTCCTTTGGAGTCATTGGCGATTCCCTTTTCATCCCTTCATATCCATTTCACTACTTGAGAAATTCACCCAAACGTTTCAGTCCTCTCAACGGCCATCATCTCCTGCGCCGCGAGGTCCTCCCGCGCCTTGCGCCGAAGGAAGAGGGTGGACATACAGAGCACGGCGCCAGCTGAGAAGATCACCACGCTGTAGCCCAGATCGCCACCTGCAGCGCAAAGGTCTATCCAGCAAAAGTCAAAAGAGCAGCGGAAAGATTCGGTTTTTGACTTCTCTGCAAACACATGACCAAATGGGCTGGGGTGGTTGAGAAACTTCCGGAAACCCATGTAGACCGCATCGACGCTTCGACGTGGAAGTCCGAACGACGAACCTTCGAGGAACCGACGAGCCAACGGAAACGAAGGAAGCATCGATGGCGCCGTGTTGCGAAATGCTGAAGCGTCTGAGTATTCTTCATGTGTCGTGTTATTCTTCTCAGGCAAGACTCGTCATTTCATGATTGTTTAATCATTGAATAATAAGGATGAATATGGATGAATATGGCCCGTTCTCTTTCCAAAAGGACGTGGAAAGTGTTCTTAGTACGAACCGGTACCTCCCCTGAATCTCTGCTCAGTGGCCTATAACGACGAACTTGCCACCATCGCTGTTCCAGCTTTCAAAGCGCGCCTGAAAAGGCGGCGGAGCGAGCTTCTGAACACCAAGCAAATTAATGAACAAGGACTCAGGACCATGACTCAGCAACTACAGTTGCGCAAGACAGAGATGCCGGTCGGGCCCAGATCTCTCCTTCACAAGGAAGACAGCAATAATATCAAAAAGAACAAGAAAAAGAACCAGAAAATGTGTTCAGCCACTTCTCCAAGAACGCAGCAAAACCAACGAAAAGAACACACACCTTCATAGCCCCACCCGGCAAACCCTCTCAAACCGGACCACGAGCCGAGAAGGCCACGCGGCACCGCGCGCCTGGCCGCTGTATTTCGTTTGCCACTCCTCGGTTCGGCCCATGGCCGCCCAGTAGATGGAGCCGATGGTCCAGGGAAGTCCCAAACCCAGAAACCTCGGGGCGAGCGAGCGCGGAACGAGAGCAGCGGAGCGGCGGCAGGGAGGAGGCTCTGGAGGTGGGGGGGTTTTTTAATGGCCTGACATGAGATGAGAGGTGGAGGAATAGATGTGTTGCGGAAACTGAAGAGAAAGAATTGTGTTTAAGTGCTTCATGCCAAAAGAAAAGGCAGCAAAAAAAAACACCACGTTGCTGCGTTACGACCGCCGATCCTGCCAAGCTGCACGTTCACAGAGTTGCTCCCGGTGACATTCCCGATGGAGGCATCCGCATAGGGGTCCTGAGGCATCGAACGAAAGATGTCAGGTGAAGGAGCGAATGTGATGGGGCGGCATGACTGCATGGTTTGCCAACATCTATGGTTTGCCAACGGGAATATGTCTATCAGCAATGTATGAGTTCTCTTTAGACACAGACCTTAAGTTGCCTGCCACGTGTCATGACCATTTCCTTTTGTCATGTCCAACTTGGACATGTTGGGTTGTGGGAACCAGGAAAAAGGTCCAATACAATTCCTGATAGGGATGAATTCAGAAGATTCTAGATTTCTTCAACCAGCCGAGCAGTTTGTCTTTCAGGAGAGGTGATTACCTAGATCCCGCCAGCTAAGACCTAAAGCAGGATGGTCGGAACCCACAAACGAGCATCAGAGATGAACTCCCAAGCGGTTGACTCCATGAATTTCACCAGAAACCTCACAAATCACGACTAACCCCCATGACACATCCAAAATATCAGAAGAGGCCCTGTCTCAGACACAGCGGGAGGAAAATAGTTGACCTGACAGGATGGCGTTCGCAGACCTTATAGGTTTACCCTCACCACAAGGAACGAACGACCAGCCCACCCGTCCCGGTCACGTCGCCTGTTCCGCGGCGGCCTTGGAGGCAAAGGTGTCCGGCAGAGAGGTGCCCAACGCCACCTGCAAAAGACCGGAGAATTCAATGCATGTCTCACTCCGGAGGAATTCATTTGAGAGAAGGTCACTCTTGCAGATCTTCTGCTAGAGTAAAAAAACAATTCTATACCAAGAATCCGGTAAATGAACCAAAAGGGGACCAAAGGGGACCTATATAAGGTACCCATCAGTCTACGAGTTCCACCAAGTTTGAGGTATAGCACCCTCCTTGCCACGGTGGTCACAGTGCTTTTGGCATCCCCAGACGTCTCCGGAGTCGTCGCCGACTCCCAAGACCCGACTCCGAAAGCGACCGCCGGTGGCGAGGAACGACCGAACGGCGGTGGAACGTGGACGCCTGTGGCGCGGAGAAACCAGCGACCGGCTGAGCGGCGTGTAGCCCGGTGACCAGCTCCGAGAGTGGCGGATGTCATCTTCCAAAAGGCAAAACTCGAAGTCGGTGAACCAAACACATTTGGAGAACCGTCTTCATCCCCTCTGAAACATGTGGGTCTGGACGTGGTAGACCATGTTGCACTGTTGCACCGGTCATTTGGACCACAGACGTGGCACCCCCCGCTCTCGCGTCTCCCGTCTCCTCCGCACCCCCGCGGTGCCCACGCGTTGGCACACGTGGGGACCCCCACCAGCGTGATCGCCGTGACGAAGTCTGGCAGGTCGAGCACACAGCCCACCAAGCCCTGTGACGACATTCCGAGATTCTGCAGCGTTTCACCAGGCTCGGGTTGGAGCAAGGGGGGTCCTGGACCGGTGATCTGACCAACACATCGAAGAGCATGACAGCTCATGACAATTGGAACAAATATAAGAAATACCAGCTAATTCTTCAGGAGAAGGAACGTGTTGCAACAGCAAATCTCAAATCCAATGCAACTAGGTTCGATCACCTTCGACGACATTAAGCTTGCAGGAAGGAGTTGAATGACGATTCACTCCTGGAGATACTGTACTCTCCCATCATGGCTCTTGACTCTTGGCTCAAGCTTTGAGCCACTAGCCTTGAAGCGGTAGGTGCTAATATCTTTTGGATTGATCACTTGTACTTACAGTAATCACACCATCATTACACCCTTCCCTACCAAACCCCTTCGAATCGACTCCCCACCACACCGTCATCCTGGAAGTTTCACCCCACTCCCATCCGCATGGCTGCAGCTTCCCGAGTTCCCCCACCGCTAGATCGCTGATCAGGGCCGTGACCATACCAATGAAGCACAGGGAGATGTAGAAGCAAAGCCAACCACCGCAGTAATCCTGGGTTTTTTCAAACCCGCGCGTCACCGCATCCCTCGTCGTCACCTGTAACGCGCCCACGCGCCCACGTCGTCGTCGACGGGGACCGTTTGGAAGTGTTGGATGTGAGGTGTTCGACTTGTGGAGATGTGGATGGGTTTGGGGGTGGGTGGGTGGAATGTTCGCCATGGCTGTTGCAGTTGTTGCGTGTGGTTTTGGCATTGACTGGTGGTACAACGGCACAACATGTTTTTGAGGAAATAAGCGGCTTTCGACATCCTTGACAGCGCCAAGCGGATAGAAATACACCAGAAACCAGCAGTTGTTTTTTCCGGTTTTGGCCCTTCAAAACTAGGCCACCAAGAGATCCAGTCATCATCCCAAGTTCGCAGTACAGTGTTTACGGTGTTTTTGGATGTTTCTTGTGCCACTGGGTCTTGACCCACACCCCCGAAATCGAGTGGAGATCTGGCCCATGGTCACCAGTATCCCTCCATTTCCCGCCAGTCACTGCTTCCTCAGTTCGGGTGTGAAAATGAACCAACTTCGCCCCTTCACCCCACTGAGGTCTCACACACTGCACAAAGGTGACCCCTGTGCATTCCCCTAGAACCATTTGGCTGCAAGAGGCAAGTGCCTTTGGTCTTTCTTCCCCCCCGGCTTACGGGAGTAGCTCTCTCCCCCAGAAAACCTCTTGGTTGCCCTGCCTTTGCAAGAAGGTTCCTTCTCCAATTGGTTTCCCTATTTTCGGAACTCAGGGGTCATCTGAGGCTGAGGTTGGATCACTAAGAAGGTCAGCCTTCAACCAGCATCTACATCCCAAGGCACCACAGGTGGAATCATTGCGAAGACGACCTTCCAGGGCAAAGTCAGCAAGTGTAGAGCCCACCTCAGAAAGTCCAAGAGAGGTTGGGAGACCTGAACTAGGACCCTTTAGTACGCATTTCATGGGCTAGGATGGTCCCAGCCAGTGACTCTGGCTCGCATTGAATCAGTCTGGGTCACTTTGAACCAGGTCCATTGACTAGCACCTTGCACCGGTTGCCGCCAATTTGACCGCTCAATGCTTCAACTTCGCTGTGTCCCAGCTCATCCATGCAGCACATGGCAGGAGATGGCGAGAGGTTCTGTTTTGTTTCCCCATGAGCACTGTGGCCAGAAACCTGCGGGGACACTGTCTGACTGTCTGGCTGGCTGGCTGTATGGTTGCATGGTTTCATGCTTGCATGGTTGGTCGGTTGGCTGGCTGGATGGATGGATGCTTGCTTGCTTGCTTGTTTGTACGTATATTCAGTGCAACTTCACACACCAACCTTGTTCCCTTCTTTCACTACCACCTCACAGCGCCAAGCCACTGAAAGCCACTGGGAGGGCCAGCCTGTCCGGTCGCGTTCACCAGATCCACCCCGGACGCATGCGGAGACCGATCCCATGGGAACAGCAGGTCAAAAGGTTACACACCCCAACCTGGGGGGTGTACCAAACACCACCAATCGGGTGATACATCAGATCTTATGGTCATGGTGATACCATCGGGTGATACTACTACCAGGGCTCACTCGCGACGGTCTAAACTCCAGAAGTTGGCTCGAACCATCGAGATTCGCTCGCTCCGACATCGGACATCACGTCCATCTGATCCCTCTGGAAACACCCCATCCCTAAACCCTAAGTCGTCCCGTCCACATCGCCTCATCATCGCCACCATTCACCAGGAGCGCATTGATGAACTGATCCTGTCGCGTCGCACTGTGGGACTAGTCACGTCGTTTGTTTTGGAATTCGCCGAAGAGCAAGGAACTGCAACTGCAAGGAACAGCAGCCCTTGACCCGTTACCCTATCTGTTTTTCATATATGCTGGTCAACTCGGCTGCTATCAAGAATCGCACAGGTTCCAAATGACTGTGGCCCTTCTCGGCTGCAATAAGCAAAGGCTTTACTGCATTTCTCTGTCATGATCCTTGTCAGCCCCAGAGCAACAATCGCACAATTTCCGAGTGGCCGTTCTGGATGGCAATAAGCAAAGGCGTCGACCCATTGTCTGTTATTGCTGCGTTTTTGTCAACTCCAGCCTCCAGCAACAATCGCACAACTTCCAAGTAGCCTTCCCG